TTAGAATAGAAAACTTCATTATTTTAAAGAAAAATGATTTAATATTAATATCGATTTTCTTTTATATTTATCTAGAGAACAAATTAATGAAATGCTTTGCGAATTATATAGTCCATCAATATCAATGCCTGAAGCACCAAAACAAAATTTTTTTGCTAAACTGTTTGCTTCGAATTCAATGATTGATTCAGATCAATTATGTAAATTTCTTTAAAATTTAAAGAAAACACAAACTTCAATATATTTTAATCTTTTTTTTTTTTTATTTTAATAGTTGGTGAAACAGCTGGAAAAGCTCCAGCTGGTATTATCAAAAAAGAAGATGTTAATGTTAACATGAATCAATTACGTGGAACAGCTGAATCAACAAATAGTGTTATACATGATACACGAATGGTGAGAAATGATTTTCTTTTTAATTATTTTTTTTTTTGTTGTTTTGTTTATTTAATTAGAAATTACTTGAACGTGGCCAAAAATTAAATGAAATAGATCTTGCATCAAAACAAATGGCTGAACGTGCTGAAGAATTTGCTAGTCTAACACATAAAGTTATGTTAAAACAAAAAGAAAAAGCTGAATGGTCATGGCCATTTACATCAAAAAAATAGTGATTCATTTTTATTTTTCATTTTGAATTAATTGAAATATTCTATTCTCTTTAATCGGATCTTTTTTTGTTTTCCTACCTTATACATGAGTGCAATATATCCTTAATTTCCCTATTTTAATCGCACTAATGTTGTTCATTATTATTGTTGTTGTTCTTGTTCTTGTTGTTCTTGTTGTTGTTGTGTATGTGGATTTATTTTATAGTTTTTTCGCGATCGACACATGCAATAATTCTTCACAGACTACATACATACAACTAATTCATATGTTTTATTTTGTATTTGTATTTACGACGAACAGTGACTTTAATTATAATCAAAAATATGTATGTGTAGAAACGAAAGAAAATAATATTTGATAATAGAAATGTTTCTATTTCTGGTCATAAAGAAAAAGTCATTTTTTTTCTCTTCTTGCCCTTTTGAGTGTTTATCTTTCTTTTTTTTCTCCAAATGATGATCTCATATATGGAAACCCTCGTTTTTTTTTCTCTACCTAATTTGTAATCCCTCTTATATTTTTGTTGGTGTTTAAAAGAAAAAAGAATCTTTTTACTCGTGCGCGTATTCAAATAAAGTGGCATCGTTTATTGAAAAACAAAGGCCAAAAATTTTTATGTATACACGAGTAATACTTTGATTAAATTGATCATTGTAATTAAGAATAACAAAGACGAAGACATACATTCTACATCGAATGTAATCTATATTTCAATTGTATTTACTTGTTACTGGTACTAGTGATATTAGTGTACTGGTTTTTCATCTTATGGAAGAAATTCTATAACTGATTAATCGCTTCTGAGAAAAGAATTCGAGCTGGTCAATTGTTGCTACTGACATATGACATTGTTACGATATTTTTTAAGTCAATGTTGTGGTTGTCCTAGGCAACAATAGGAAAACTGATTTTTCATATTTCGAATCGAAACATTGCGTAGCGATAGACCTTAATAAGAATAGTTTATTGTGGAAGTTTAAAGTCTTTTCAATGGTTCTATCTTAAGAAACGATTATGATCAAAGGATGTCTTTTATATCGCTTCTTATTTCATGATGGGAACATATCAAAAGATCTGTCGTCATTCGAAGTTTCGATTTGAAATACAAAAACGAATTTTCCTGAGGTTGCTTAAAGGGATCATGGCATTGACCTAAAAACTACAGTAACAACGTAACATTTCAGCAGTAATAATTAAACAACTCGAACTCTTTTCATGGTATTTGTAGCTGATTAGAATCTACATGATATTCATAGTTCCATCCAAAAAAATGATTAATTAGTTGAGAGATTTTCCTCGTTAGTTCCTTATGTTGTACAATGAAATTTTAATGATTTTATTTCGTACATGAATAAGTATTTCAAGATTTGAATAGGATAACATTTGACAAAAATGATCCATTATGTTTACTTTTTCAATTAGAACTTTTAGCATCGCAGGTGAATCTGTAGCTAAAACCCAAACCCGAACACCAACATTTAATGAGACTTCAACATTTCAAAATATATCTATTTTTCTCAAGCTGCTATTTATATATTAAATCATATGAATGAAGATCTGAACAATTTATTGTACTTGAGAATAGGTCACAGAAGTAGAAAGTGGTATCGTTTTACTAAAAGAATTCGTTTTCAATGAAAATTCATCTATAGATGATGATGAACTATATGAACAAATAACTAAATACAGGGAGAGGAAAATGAATTTAATGCTGCATTCCATTCTAGCATCATCAGCAACAAACAAACATATACTTAGCAAGCGAAAAGTCGTACCTGTTCAGGATATTAGTTTTGAAATAACGTATTAGAAAAAAAGAACAGATATTTTTATTTCTGAAGTTCAGCGATATGCTTTTGATAATATTCATGAATTGAAAATCTATATATAATATTTCTGATTGAGAAATTAATATTATTTCTTTTGTTTTTTTTTTGTTTTAACAAAATCATTTCAATCTGATCAACTGAATTCGAAAATATTTATTAGTAACTTGTATTCTTTTATTTATTTGTTTAAAAATTTTGGATCAATTACAAACGAAAAATCATCAAAGTTATATTCATTATATAAATCATCATCTGTTTTCTTAGCCATTACTTCTCCGTTGATGATTTTTTTTATTGCTTCTAATGTCATTATTAATAAATGTGGACTAATTTTAGGAATATTGTGTGATGACACAATTAAATCGACTTTATTATCTTTAATCAAACATACTAATTTTTCTAATGACTTTATATAATCTTCTAAATTTGTTTCCGGTCTATAAAGATAAATAGGTCCTGAATAGAATATATCTCCAACAAATAAAAGTCGTTCTTGTATATCTAATAATGATATTGAATCAGGTGTATGACCAGGAGTAGAAATCACTTTAATTTTTCGTTCATTTCCAAGATCAATTATATCATCATCAGATATAAATTTACTTATACAATATGGTTTAATTCGATAAGATTTTTTATCAAAATCTTTTGGTAAATAATCTTCACAAATCCTATCATTTTTCATATCATTTTGTGCTTCAGTAAGAAGACTATGATCATTATTCTTAGAAAATTCACATTCAATACCAATTAAAGATTGTTCAAAACGCCAATTATCACCAACATGATCATGATGTGTATGTGTATTAATGACTATTAATGGTACAGATGAAAGTTCATTAACAACTTTTTCAATATTTCCAATGCCCATTCCAGTATCAATAAGAAGAGATTTTTTCGAACCAACAATAAAATAAGAAATTACTTCTTGATAGTGATATGGTTCATAAATAGCAAAAACAGTTGGATGAATAGCATAAACTTGAAACCATGATTCACTAATGGAAATACGTTGAAGTGAAGAATATTGAGAACGAGGTAATTTATCAAACCACGATGACATTATTGAAATGATGATTTATTTTGTTTTACTATTTTATAGACAGAAAGCAAGTAAACAACTGTGTCTTGATTTTTTTCCTTCTTTTTTTTTGTGTTTGTTGTCATTTTTCTGGACACGTGTTATGATATGTTAAAGATTGTTTGTGTTGTAGAAAAGAAGTGCATGACATACTTATTATATAAACATGGAGAAATATTTCAAAACAATCGAATTCATTTAATAAGATACATTATCTCATGTAAAGATTATTTCTTTCCATTAAATTCAATAAATCTTTTCATAGTTATGAATATTGTGCAATATTTTCTTTATTTCAAAAAGTATTATCATAAAAACAAGAAAAATGAATGAAAATTATCTAATATAAAGATTATTCGTTACAATTAAATTCAATCATATAAATATGTATTGCTAATTATTTTTTTTATAAACATTAACTTTTCTTATATTACTATAAAGCATTTTCACAACAGTTTGCACTAAAATACATAGTCTAAATTATAAACAACTAAACGATAAAAAATTCGAATATCTTCATTTCGGTGTATGCAAATTAGTTGATTGTTTTGTTAGTGATATAGACTTATTCAAAGTGTTTTTTTTTATACAGATAACATAAACAAACACTGCTTTGCAATTTTATTGTTGACTTCATAAAAGAAATCTAAGCTGTTATCAAATAACAAAAAAACATCGTAGATATGAAGTGATTCATATAGAATTTTCTATTCTCATCGAAGATAATAACAAGAAAAATTCGATTAATTCTAGTTAATTTAAATATACAATAAAGAATATGATAACATGTGATGAGCAAACTCACTACTTTTCATAAAATTTTCATTTTTTCTCTGTCAAGATCGTTTGTTTTTTTGTTTTCAGAATAAGAACGATCGTACAATGAAACAAAACATCCGCACACTCCTGTCTTAAAAAAAAATTGTTTATACATCTTTCTATTTCTTGAAAAATTTTTCTTGCACATCCCTTCTGTTTTTTTTTTCTTCGTCACACCTCTGCACACCATTAGATCTCTGAAACAATGATTTATCTAACTTTGTTGTAAAAATCAGTATACCATGTTTTGAAAATATGAAATAAATATAACCATTGACTTTTAAACAACTAATATTAAAAGTTTGCTGTATGTGCCTCAATGTAATATCGAGCATAAAATTTGTTAGATTATCTTCAATGAGAACAGAAAATTATCTTATGTGATAACAACTTATATATTTCTTTAATGTACTTAATAATAATACTTTGAAAGAAAAATATCTGTTTATGTTATTCATATGAAGATCTCATTTGATTCCACTAAAATAGAGATATTCCTTTTTTTTTTATCGTATAGTTATTTTTGTTCGTATTATCTTGGTTATTATTCGACAAGAATTAAAAATAAATAAAATAACCTAAATCAGAGAATATAATCACAACGGAACAAAAAGAAAATTAACTTTATGTTATATTGATAAAGTATTCAATGTAAAGAATTAATTTTTTGTAATATCTCCAGATTCTTTTGATAATGATTGATAATAATTAGCTAAAACTTTCCATCCTGCTGGTACCATAAATCCATCGGGAGGTTGTTCACCATTTCGAGCAATCTTTCTCATTCGTGTACCAGATATAAAATCAAATTCATCATGTTTATTTGGATCATAAAAAGCCATAGTTTTCAAAGTACGATGATAAGCAGCTACTTTAAATGGTAATATATGTAATTGATTAAGACCAGGTGCCATTGTTAGAACTTTTGAACCATGTGTTGGATCATAAAGATCTTTAGATTTATCGGATGGATGAGGTAAACCAGCTGGATCACGACCAACAATATAAAAATTCGCTCCAGTACACATACGAGCTTTAGCATGCCATTGTACTTCAGTTGGACCTGCATAACTCATTGGTGATGGAAATATAGCAAGAACAGTTCGAGAACGATCAAGTCTATCGTCTGTATCTTCATTTAAAAAAGCTTGATGTTGAGCCATACGTACAGCTAATGGAACATCATCTTCTTTCGTCCAACCACCTTTAAGAAAAAAAAAAAAGAATCAAGAATATTAAATATATGTTAAAAACAAAAAAGAAAAGATGAATATCGACCTAAAGGATGAAGAAGAAGAACAGGATTATGAAATCCATGATCTTTTAACCATTGGCGGGTTGTTTCCATAAGAAGGGAATGTCCATTATGAATTGGATTTCGAAGTTGAAAAGCAAATACAGTATCAGCCTAATAAAATGAACAAAAAATATTTATATATTTAAAAATCTACTTTATTTTTGATTTTCTTTACTTTCATTTCACGAAAATGTTGTCGTAATTCATTTGGTGTTAAACGAAATTGATCAAGATCATCATTCCATCGAATTCTTTCAAGTACTTCAAGATCACCACCAATTAACCAATCACCACTTTCAAGAATCATCTATATATAATATAAAAATAATATTTAAAAAACTAAATTAAAATATTTCTTTTTAATTACTTTAATATGAGGATGTTCAGGATTTATAGTACCGAAAATTCTTGCACAACGTTCTTCTTTTCTATGTTCATAAAATTCAGGTTTTTTTAAAACAGCAACAAATTTTCCATTATAACATAGAGCAATTGTTGAAGATGATTTTAAACGTTCTCTTTCTTCAGTTATACATGGTAAAACAATTGGAATTGTTTGATTTGCAATATGACCTTTTGTTTTTTTTTGAATTCTTAAAAATAAGAAAAAAAACAAACTAAATTTTTTAATAGGGATATTCACCTTTCATTAAACAACCAAAATGTAAACATTGTAAATATTCTATTTCACGCATAAAACCAGCAAGTGGCGTTGCCCAGCCTTCACTTAATACTTGAATCCATTGTAAATCTAACTAGAAAAGACATAAAGTATCAATATTTTTTCTAATAATTATATTTTCTTTTTTTTTTTTATAATTTACTTCAGTAATATCAAGTTTATTTAAATTTGGAAATTCTATCAATGCTTTTTCACGCATATCTTCATCCATGAAAAGTTCATGTACAGCAAGAATTAATGTTGGTGATAAAACATTCTAAATAGATTAAAATAATTTTTCTTATAGTTTTAAAAAATATAAAACATAATAGAATTGCTTTCATTATGACTATAAATTGTTAATACATATCCCTGTTATATTACAAAACTAGAATATTGATAATGCATCTTTTATATTCTATGTATAAAGTGGACTGTAAAAATTTAAGATACTTTTATTTTTGAAGTTTTTCATCGAAGATGAATAGCTAGGTCAAATCCGAATAGTGATTTGAATAGCTCTTGAAGTTTTCTATCGAATACAATATGTGTCAAATTTTCAAAAATCTATCTGTCAAAATTCTTTAGGACTTAAAATCTTCCCGGCATGGCTTTCTGGAAAACTCTCTTCATAAAGTTTCTTTTGAAAATTTGACATATATTGTATTCGATAGGAAATTTCAAAAGCTATTCAAATCATTATTTGGATTTGACCTAGCTACTCATCTTCGATGAAAAACTTCAAAAATAAAAGTGTCTTAAACTTTTGCGATCCACTTTATGTCATAGAATGAAAATGCTGGAATTAAACACTTTTTTATGTTTAATAATATCGATTCAAAATGAAAAGAGATTTTAATATACTTTCATTTAAAAATAAATAAACTTACACGTTCAGCTAATTTTCCTATGATCATTTCAATAGAACGATCAATGGATATTATACTTGTATCAATTATTACTTCAGGATGTGCTGGTGCTTGATATGGTGCATCAATACCTGTAAAATCTAAATAAATATTTCTATATTAATAAAACAAAATAACAATATTAAATAAACTATTCAAACTTTTAAGTAATCCTTGTCGTGCTTTGTGATATAAACCCTTTGTATCTCGTTCTTCACATACAGATAATGGTGTATTAACAAAAACTTCAATAAATGGAATTTGTGAATCTTCATGCAATTTTCTAGCACATTCTCGATCCTATTGATTGTTTTTTAAATAACATATGATTTATTTTTTTTTTTGATTAAAAATATTACTTCTACAAATGGACTAATGAAAGCAACAATACACATGAGACCAGCATCGGCAAATAATTTTGCAACTTCAGCAATACGTCGAATATTTTCAACACGATCAGTATCAGAAAATCCAAGATTTTTATTAAGACCACATCGAATATTATCACCATCAAGACAATATGCTGGTAAACCTTTGCTTACTATATATTCTTCTAATGCAAAACTTGAAGATAGAAAAAAAAAAAACAGAATATTAGTCAATAGAAAACAAAAATTTTCTCTTACGCTACAGTTGATTTTCCAGCTCCTGAAAGTCCTAGATAAGAAGAAAACAAATATCTCAATAGACAAAAAAACAAATACGTTCCAGTCAAATAAAAATATTTACCAGTTAACCAAACAGTTGAACCTCGAAATGCTCCACGTTGTCCCAATGCTGCTGCACGTTTTTCTCGCGTAAGTTTTGATACATGATAAAAAATGTTTTCTTGACCCTAATAAATAAAGATATTTGAAAAAAAAACAAACAAACATATATCCTTCACTAAGACAATAGGAAAAATTCAAGTGCACTAGTCGTACTTTATCGGACATAATTGACTGTATCGATGAAGGCTATATATAGAAAACTAACGCAATATATTTTATTTAAAATGTACTTTTTGTCTTTTTCTGCATGAGTGATTTCTAATATCTAATATATGATTGTATATAAAAAGAAAGAAAAATATTATTTTACCTGAACGTTTATATATGAATTATGATTCTTCTGTTTTATCGAAATAGATTTTTTTTCAATTTTTGGTTTAACTAAATTATTTATTATTTCATAAAGTTTTTTAAGTAAATTATTTTCATCATTAACAATATTTAATGATAAATTATATGTTGATATAAGATTAATTAAAGAATTCCAATCAATAAGATCAGATGATTGTTTTAAAATAATAAGATTAATTGTAGAAGAAGAAGAATTTGGTTTTAATAATGATAATAAATCAGGTAATGATTTTGATACTGTGGAACAATAACAAATAATTGATGGAAATTCAAATGATTGAGATAAATCAACTTGAATATTATAATCTACATTAGATTTAATAAATGTTGACGATGTACATTGTTGAATAAAATTTTGTTTTTTAAGAATATTGCCAATAAAATTCACATCATCTGTATTTATCTGGCATTGAAATAATGGAATCGATGACATTTAATTTTTTTATATTAAAATCTATTAATGTGAAAGATAACACTAAAATAATTAATTATAAATTGTCGAAGAACTTAATCGATGCCAAAGTCGACCGAAAATTATTGATTAGTTAAAATCACCGTGAAATCAGATGAGGGTTAAACAGATTAAACAAACTAACTAAATGGCATATAGGTTAAGCTCATAGTGTGAAGTACATCTTCAAATTGGACTAATTGTTTATGAGATTATAAAACTTTCGTATATAGTCGAAATATTAAATTTAGCGAAACAAAAAAAAAACATGTTTCTATATGATACAAAGTAGAACAATGAGTTTAATACACGCTTAATTCTCTAGACATCACAAAGCATGTTTTGTGTTGGCTGAAAATCAATCAGTATCAGAGATGAGATCGGTTCGTGTCTCTTCAGAACCGAACCAATTCCATCACTGATAGATATTGTATCGAAAACCTATGGAATTTATGGTACTCTGGTGTACGAGAATTCTCATCTGATAAAAGAAACGAATAATCCTTTCTACGATTGTTTACAATATGTTTTTCTTCGAAAAATTTTTATTTTTCATTGAAATCAGAGTTTGTTTATCTGTCTCTGTGAATTCGCAAATTTGCGTTTCGACCAATCCGATGATAGAAGTCAGAAAGAAATGTTTTTGAAGTAGCCATTATGAAATTCATTACAAAGGAAAATCTATTAAAAAATAACAGCATGCTTTTAATAACGAAAATTGATCAATTTTTTCTCTTTCCGATTCATTATTTATCAACAGTTGTATTCGCGGGACTGTCGTAACTATGAACAAAGAGAATGGTAACTGTTGTTTTTGTTTTAAATGCCTCAAAGGCAAAAAAGAATCAAGGCTACCGAAATTTCCTTTTTTTTATTTTGATGACTTACTGTAGGAAAATGAAACGCGCAATTGAAGATAGAAAAAAAACGGACAGTATTAATTCGATCATAAAATTTCATTCTCATGTTTAGACTAGTATTTCATTACTTGTCGTTCTCAAGATCTTTGTGACATAAAATAAGAATTTTGGATGCTTACATCGAGTAAAAAGAAAAACAACATAAAATAAGAACTTTGAATGCTTACATCGAGTAAAAAGAAAAGTAAATATATTCCCGCAGCGCTAGCCAAGTAAATATTTTGCGTTATACTGCATTAATAATAAATATATCTCGATGAAATCACATTATCAACACTGATAACAATAAGTGCTTGACATAAAAGAAAAAAAAAAAGTACGTAAAAACAAAGACCGAAAGATACCAAAAGCTAAAAAAATGTTTTTGTTTTTTGATGAAGTATACGACTAGAACGATAAATCGTTTGATAACCAATTTCGACATTGATTAAGGTATTATAGAGCTAAGAAAGCGGGGGAGGGGGGGGGGGAGAGAATAATCGATCTCATGAAAAGTGTCAAAATGATGTACTTGCACTACGTTTTAGTAGCAAGGTCTGCATTCTGATTGATGGATAAAAATAATAGGTAGTAACGACAAGGCAATATGATCCGGTTGATTTAACCGCGATCTTAAATCAATAAAAAAACCTTTGACAGTCCGACATTTTATGATTAATTGATTTTTTAGTTAAATTTTATTCGATAATCTTTTGAATGGTTTTAGTAAATAATCAATGTGAATTTTTCAAACAGATGAAAAATAAAATAAAATAATAAAATATATATTTTTTTTGTTCTGTTCTAAGCAGTGAATAGACGAGTAAAATCACTCGAAACGATTTATTGCTTTTGAGTTCTTATTTGAAGTATATAGAAGAGACTTCTAGACTAGAATAACCTAACGATAGGGAAATCGAATAAATGATTTTCTTTTTTATCTGAAGGTGAAGCTAATCGTAAGAGTACGTCATTGAGATGGAACGAATAGTTGTTCTTACTATAGCCAGGAAAAGACTAGTATTATCGAAATAACATTTGTCGTTTTTTTATCTCTGATTTCCGCTTTTCTATCATCTGTTATAGATTATTGTTGTCAAAATAAAAAAACAGAATTTAGCAATCATTTGAAATTTGCAACGACTTCGTAGATCTAATCTTTCCAAGAATATCGATAATATTACTGTCAAAATGATTGCTTTCTTCTTAAGATATTCAAAAATCGATTCGATTTCACAAAACTCAGAAATTTCTAAATGTAGAATATTTCAAAAAAAGGGAAACTATCGTTTTGGTTCGAATTTCTAGAATACTGTTAAAATCAAGAGATTTACTCATTGACAAAATCTACGGTGAAAAATCCATTGTTCAAGTTTCTTGTCAATATCCTATCCTATAGTTAAAAAAATCCAGCCAAACTGTCATATCTCTCTGGTGAGAAGATCAATGAGTTCCAATCCTTTTGGAATTATCCTAATGTAGAGCTTTTCTCTTCACTTAAAAGTAATAAATCTACAAAATATGCTAATCTATATAAATACATAAAATAATACTAACACTTATATTTTCCATCTAAATTCAAGAATATCTTAATCTATAAAAGAATTCTCGAGTAAATACTTTACTGAACATCATGCTGTAATGTAGAATAATTTATTTTATCATCAGTCATATAATACAAAAAACATCTGCCTTTTCTTTTCCTCAATAAATTTCTTCTGCATGACTATTAAGACAAAAAGAAAATAATAATAAAACTTCTGGTTTACCTCATGACATTTCATTGTGCATATAGAACATACTGTTTGATGTCATAAAATTCTTATCCAAAAAATAAAAAAAATAAAAGACAATAAAAATTACTTTCATCAGTCAAATTGTCCTTCTTTTATATTAATAAATTCGTTCTTTATATTCTTGTGAAACAGAAAAAAAAATGAAAAATAAAGGAACCATCATGATTTTAAGAATATCTTTCTTTTTTTTTTTTTTTTTTTTGTAACATGCCATAGAAATAAACAATAAATGAAACGAATTAAAAAGAAACAAGAAAAAAAATACATGTGTATCGAGACAAACTATTCATTTTTTTCGTTTTTATTTTCTTTATAGTATTGTCTATAATTCACTGTGTATAACCTTTATTTTTTCTTCTAATTGTTTCAAAGAACGTTAAATATTTTTTTTAATTCAATCATTAACTGCCAATCAGATTTTTGCATATCATCACGAAAATGATCTTTAACAATATCAATTGCTTCACGCGAAATCTAAAATCAAAATATTAATATATTGATTTAGTATTTTGCTACATATGAAATGGTTAAGTTTTTTTTTTTTTTTGTCTTTACTTTGCTCATTAATAAATCATTTTCATCAAAATGTCGACCAAACATTTTCGGTGCTTCACCACTAACTGGATCAATTTTAATACAAACTTCTGAACCTTTTCTTGCTACATCTAATGGTTTATGATTTAATTCAATACTAACAATTCGACCAAGTTCAATAAACTATAGAATTTATTTAATGAAATAGGTTTTTGTTTTGTTTTTTAAATTATACGTACTTCTTTTGATGGAACACATATTGGTGTACCTAATTTAACAATGCCATCTTCAATAAGTACACCACATATAATTGGATCACGTGAATTAAATATATATTGTGGTAAAACTCTTATTTTGCATGGAAATACAGCAAGATGTCGAAATTTTTCTTGATTTTCTTTTTTAACACGTTCACGATGAGCAACAAACATATCAAATAAATGATAAATTATATCATCTTGAAAGATTTTTACACCTATATTTAACAAAAAAAAAAAAAAACAGTTGTTAGTACAATCCCTGAGGGATTAAAATACAATCGATAGTTTTTAAAAGTACAAGGAATTAAACATTTGATATACAGTCGGAAGCAGTTTGTCTAATACACAGTGACTGAGAAAAGTTGTCTTCTAAAACTTGACAGACAATTTATTGACGACAACTCAAAATTTTCGTAAAACACGACATAAAAACTGAAAAGGAGGGAACTGACCCACTCCGCCACTTTCACATCGAAATCTTTGGCTGATAAGATAGTTTGTGAGTGTACACAAATTCTAGCCTATATACTTCAACAGTCATTTTGGATCGTGTTTTTAACGTACCAACGGTATCAGCATGGTCTTGAGCATCTTTTTCAATTCGAACGTCGAATGCTAAAACCACTGCCCATCTAAAAAAAAAATAAATAAATGTTTATATTAAAAAACGAACAACAAAGTGTAGAAGAGATAAATATAAATTGTCTTTTGTTACTTACTGTGGATCTCTTTCAAGTTGTGTTGATGCACGAATAATATCTTTTCGATGTACAGGACCAATATTAATACCAGAATACTAAAATAGATATATTCTAGATTTAATTTCATTGTTCTTTTTTTTTTTTTAATCATTGAAATATTTTACCGGAATATTTGATGTTTTTAAGAATTCAAGTAAAGCTTCTAATGAACCTAATGTTGATGCTTGAACATAAACACCATTTTCTTTTAATTTAATTGAACTAAGTGCTGTTTTAAGAATATTTTGAATTTCATTTTTAAAATATTCAGTTTCATCATTTTTTCGACCAACGAATAATGGTAAACCAGCCATAGATTTTTCTAAATCTTTAGCAGCAACTTTTATACCACGAGCAGCTTTTACTGTTTTATAATTTTGATATTGATTCTAAATTTTAAAATTATATATAGAAAAAAAAAACATACAAAAATTTAATTTAAAAAACCAAACGAATAACCTACTCGAACACGTAATTCTCTATTTGGTTCTGGCATAAGAAGACCTCGAACTTGTGTTACAATTGGACCTTCTTGACCAGCAACAATAATTGTATCACCAACTCGTAAATGTCCATTAACAAGAACAACATCAATTGTTGTACCTAAACCACCAATGGCTTTTACCTAGAGTATAGAAATAAATAATAATCTTTTATTTATTCGTTTATCAAGTGTATAGATTAAAAATATGGAGCACTCTATTGATTATGACCTACTTCAATGAACAACGTAAGTCATTCAATACAATTGGG